AATAGATTCGTGTAATTTAACCAAAACCGAGTTAGAATCACTTACCCCAATCCATATGGTGAAAATCGCCTCAAAAATCGCTTCAATCCGAGCTCCATAACTCCAAATGTCTTAAAATGACCGAAACCTTAAAATATATCTTTTGTCCAGGCATTTACTCTTCGCGATCGCGAAAAGTGCTTCGCGATCGCGAAAAGTGCTTCGCGATCGCGAAACACAAAAATTGTCAGCCAAAAATTTGCCTTTCGCGATCGCGAAAAAGAAATTCTCACCACTTCCAGACAACCTCTAATATAATGGTCTTAACCTTTTGTATAAAACTCCAAATTGCAAATGGTTTATCTTTCTGAAAACTAGACACCAAGGGCTATAACTTTCATTTGTTTCTTATCTCCCAATTCCTTACATATTTCTAGATATAAGCTTCCAAAATCAGCCCTGTGCAACGGAGATTTTCAAACTCTTCCCGGACAGCCTATAGTGTATCTACCATAACTCTTTGTACACAACTCCAAATGACAAATGGTTTATATTTCTGAAAACTAGACATCAAGGGCTACAACTTTCAAATTTAGATTATCTCCAAATTCATTATAGATTGCGAGATATAAGCTTCCAAAGTCGGGTCAGTGCAACAGAGATTTTGTTCTACGCGATCGCGAAAGAGCTTCCGCGATCGCGATTCACAAGGTTCCAAATTGTTGTTTGCTCTTCGCGAATGCGATCACGATGCACACCTCTGTAGGCAGAAACCAGCAACTAAAAATGGCCTAGAAATGGTCTGAAACCACCCCGAAACTCACCCGAGCCCCTAGGGACCTCAACCAAATATACCAACAAGTCCCTAAACATCATACGAACTTAGTCTAAGCCTCGAATCACATCAAACAACGCTAAAACTACGAACCGCACCTCAATTCAAGCCTAATGAACTTTGAACTTTCAAATTCTATATCTTGTGCCGAAATACATCAAATCAATCTGGAATGACTTCAAATTTTGCACACAAGTCATAAATAACATAACGAAGCTATTCCAATTTTCAGAATCGGATTCCGATATCGATATCAAATAGTCAACCCCCGGTCAAACTTTCCAAAAATTCAACTATCGACATTTCAAGCCTAATTCTACTACGGACCTCCAAAAAAAATTCCGGACACGCTCCTAAGTCCAAAATCACCATACAGAGCTATTGGAATTATCAAAATTCGAATCCGAGGTCGTTTACACATAAGTCCACATCCGGTCACTATTTTAACTTAAACTTTAAACCTTGGAACTAAGTGTTCCAATTCATTCCAAAACCTCACCGGACCCGAACCAATTACCCCGACAATTCACACAACAACTGTAAAGTACAATTTGAGCAGTAAATAGGGAAACGAGGTTGTAATACTCAAAATGACCGGCCGGGTCGTTACATTCTCCCCCACTTAAACATACGTTCGTCCTCGAACGTGCCAAGAGTTGTTTCCAAGCCATCAAATCATTGTTCCATCTTACCACACACGTACCCGGGGGTGATCTTATGTCACCCTATTCTATATAGACCTGACCACACAACATAACTAAAAATTATTAATTTAACTTTAGCCCATAAACCTTGGAATATAATTTCCAACCTTTAGAATTTTTTTCAAGACACGAATCTTACATTTACACCCTGTATGAGTTTGAACAAGCTGTATCAAGCCATAACCATAACCATAACCACAGACATGATCACCTAACATATTACACAACGCGCATGCTCATAGAACCATTTCTGACCACAGTGACTACTCCAAAACCAACCAAATACTAGTATTAAACCCATATCGAACCAAACCTCATCCCAAAACCTTCGTACACTGTTGATAATAAAAGAAACATGCGAAATTTCATGACCACTTACCAGATCAACAAGTCACGGAGCTCTCTCGCCTCAACCAAAATCATAATCACTTTTTGAACCGACCCACAATATTATACTTCCGAATATACCGAAATCAAACCTGATACTACTCATTCTAGGTTCAATGACCTTATATTACTAAACATAACTGTTCCATAGACATACCACACCAATATAACTCAAAGCCACGACCCGTGCAATTCCTGCACCAATAAGCAACAATTCAAATGTACCCAGTCATGGAAAATTACTCAAATGAGAAAATTGCCCCGCCAGATTAACAAGTACCGCCACAACGAAACGCTGAAAATTCATCATACACCATAGAACCATCACCCGATTCTAACACAAGGTTCATACCTTAACATAACTCTGCTGCAATGCGTGACCCCATCCAAACGCTGGTCCATAATATATACCTCGAGCCACCCCGCTCAAAATCAATAACCACAGAGAGGCAAAGGACAAAAATGCCACACAAAACCTAAAAGAACATAACCATTACGCAATCGCTCATGCAATACCCAAATATTCTCAAATTCCTTTATAAAGCTTAAATAGAACCGCATCATCTGTGCACATAACCAATGAATCACAACTCCTCGTAGCATAAAGGAGTAACTCACAGATCATTTCAGAATACGAATAAGTTCAATATCAACCGAATGAAACATCCCTCAACAATAGCAGTATGGAGCCAACCATTCCGGCTCGGTGTAGAATACACATCTTAATTGGGACTACCTATGGACCCCAAATCAACTCTCGTCACGACAATAGATAAATAACCCTCCGAAAATTCACCGCGACTGATTCATAATACATCATATCATCTAACTCGCTTCGGTCACGACTTCACAGTCCACAACTATAAAACAATCTGCTCCTGAGAACTCCCAGTCTCCAAATCCATAGAATACACGAATCATTATTTATGATTCTATCAAATTTAAATCTCTCTAACTCAACCAAGCCGCGCATGTCACCAAACCTAAGAGTATTGCCACAAAGCACCTGTAGAAAACCCCCACATCATAAGCACTCAAAGAACCAATCATATCCATTACCATACTGATCCAACCTACTACTAAGTTGTCCTATTTCTCCAAGTCCCTTCTGAATTTGTCTTGAAATTGATACTTCTCCTTGCTAAAACACCATGATCTTTAACCATAACTCACCCCACAAACCTTAGCAACTGTATTCTTCTTAAGCACCTTCAAAAATACCACAATTGTAACACTTGCTCTGAAAATACCTTATGTGAATTTCAAATTGTTCTCCTCACCCTCCTTATACTAAAACATAAAATCCATAGTCATACAGAATTTTTGCAAATCCAGGCACCATCCAGTGTAAATCTCAGGTTTTATCCATACACAAGTCCGGAGAAATTCTCAATTGCTATATAAAATTTCAAACCCACTAGAATTTTCTCCGGAGTCACCCACTTTGTTCAAATCTAATTGCACCGCCCAAATGGGTCAAAAGACACCTGCCCCATTAGCACAATAACACTCAAAGAAGTAACTCTACTTTAATACCCCCAATCAAATTCATACTCCGTGCGTACTACGTATTTTGAAAATAACAACTCACCCATCCCATGATTTTTCACATACTCATAAAGTACAATATAATCCGTATCCAAGAATTCGTTTACTCAAGTCATTCTCGAACTCCATCTCTGCAACTCATAACTAATCCACAAGTATGCTTCAAACCAAAACTAAAATTTAATATATAACCATGAAATTAAGCCGTCTGCAGCAGGCTCCCCCACTTGGCTCAAAGCCATAAATTTAAACACTCCGTAACTCACAATATCCACACTCTACTACTGCCCTAATACTTCCGTCAGTTCAACGAAAAATTCTTCTCAAGCTCATACAACGCCAACCATAAAAATATCCCAAATCATCTGCTAAGCTCGCAATCATTCTCTTGACACTCAAGTCAACTTTCTCAGCCATATTCAAATTCAAATCTCCACACATACGCCCTGCTGGCGGAAAAGTAACTCTCCACTCACATATAATGAACACACCTACGTAGATTACTCTCCAGGAGATAATCCACCTCCCTAGCCTAAAATTGACATCTTGTTATATCTTTTCGCAATCAAAATTACTATGCAATCACTTAGTCAATATGAGTCCAAACTCATTAACCAGACATGAGAATTTAATTTACCCCAAAATTGAACAATATGAAAGATCCTTCAAAACATTCATACTCGAGACTGTACGTTACATTAAAACGAAAATCAAGCACTCAATGGCCATTTCTTTACATTTCAAGAAAATACTTCTCGTCACATTCAAATCGTCTTAACACATCCCGCGGTCACATCATATCCATTATACCGCTATTCCATCGCTCATCGAGCCACAAATTTCACTGCAAGGTCATTACCGGACATATGAGTCCACCTGTACAAGTTATAACTGAAGCTACCGAGCTTAAACCGCGGTCTAACCATGGCCTCAAGTCTTCCAGACTGGCCCATCACCAAAACGTAGAATTCTCATCTCGCGCATCATCCCGGAAATCACAAGCCGACGATACACAACTGATACCGAGGCGCTCATGTGCGCCTACGAATACGTGGAAGGAAATTCAAAGAGTTATGTCCCAAGCTGAATCAATCCCACACGATAAGGAAAGAAAGATGGGAAGTATATATCCTAAATGCCCTGTAGCCTCTCGAAGATAAATATGTGGTCATCATACCGATCCGCAAGACTCTACTAGACACTTGCTCATGACTTGTAGAACCTATGAATCATAGAGCTCTGATACCACCTTGACACGACCAAAAATTCAACTAGTCGTGATGGCACCTAACCCAACCCGATAAGTAAGCCAGCTTTCAATTATCTAATTCCAATAATAATTATTAAAGCAATTTAAGTGAATAAAGATCTTAATCTTATACATCACCCAAGAACTGGTAGTACAAATCACGAGTTTCTAAGAATAGAGTAAACAAAAAGAAAATGAAATAAATACATAGTCTGTTTGAATAATTCACAAACAGAGCTTTTATAAATCTAAAGCTACCCTGAACAAGAAGCAGCTACAACAGGAACGCAGGTACATCTTTAAGTCCGGCAACCATCGAGCACAGCAACAACATCAGCCAACATCTACACGCAATTTGCAGAAGTATAGTATTAATACAACTGATCCCATGTACTGAGTAAGTAACAAACCTAGCTTTAGGTTAAAGTAGTGACGAGCTTCTACCAAGGTCGGATCCAAGACCACTAGTCCACAACAGTCCATAACAATATAAAGCAAATAATACCAGAAGTAACTCAGAGATAAAATGCTCAGCCAAATCATGATTTCAAAAATAATAGTTCTTCCTTTCAAGTACATTAGTGAAAAACCGAAATCGTTTACTAAAATTTTCAAAAATATGAATAAGTTTGAAAGCAATAATTTTCTCAAAATCCTTTCAATAATAAATAAAATATCTCATTTTCTTTCCCAGATAACCAGTGTAAAACAAATGCATCACTATGCCCATCCGTCAGCATGTGTGAGATATCATGAATAATGTGATACCGAGGAAAACACATCTCTATGCATATATGTCATGTGTGCATGTCAATGCAATGTATCTCAGAGATTGTACTCATTACTCATACTCTCAGATTTCTCAATCTCACTGTCTCGCATTCTCTCTCATTGTGCTCAGCACACTCAATCACTCAGCGCTATACAATACCTGCTGCGGCGTGCAGCTCGATCCCTATTTATAGTTGACTACGCTCACTGGGGTGTACAGACTCATGAGGAGCTCCTACAGCCCAAGCGCTATAAGCACCGACAACCCACGTGTTGCACGGACAACTCACGTGCCATAATATAAGTATCTGGATCCGCACGGCCAACTAGGTGCTGCACGGCTAACTCACGTGCAATATTAATATAAGGATCCGCACGGCCAACTCACGTGTTGCACGGACAACTCACGTGCAATAATAATATAAGGATTCGCATGGCCAACTCACGTGCAATAATAATATAAGGATCCGCACAGCCAACTCACGTGCTGCACGGCTAACTCACGTGCAATAATAAGCCAATAAGGCCTGCTGCAGGCGGGCAGCCCCGATCCATATAATAGTAATAATATATATAAAGCCAACATGACCTGCTACGGCGTGCAGCCCGATCCCAAAAATATCCTCACAATCAGGCCTTCGGCCTCCCTTAGTCACCAATCTCTCCAGTCTCTCTCTCATGGGCTCACAATGTCATGAGAATAGCCCAAAAATGATGATATGATGTATCGATAAATAATAACAGAGACTGAGATATGATATATAATGACATGAATATGACTGAGTATAATTTTCAATTTAAAACAAATAATTCACAGTTATGACCTCTGTGGGTCCCAATAATACTGGCACATAGCCTCAACATGATTTTTAATATGCTTTTCAGCTCAATTTCTTTAACACATAAAACCGCATGGAAAATGGCAAGATTATTTAACTACAAAATTTCACAGAAACAATTATGTCACAATTTCTATAGTACACGCCAACACGCCCGTCACATAGCATGTGCGTCACCTCCCAACAATTCACGTAATACATATATTCAGGGTTCATACCCTCAGTTCCAAGATTAGAAGAGTTACTTACCTCGAACAAGCCAAATCCAATATCGAGCAAGCTAAGCAATGCTCCAGAAATTCCATTATGCACGTATAACTTCCAAACGGCTCGAATCTAGTCACAATTAATTTGTTTCAGCTCACAAAAATTATAGGAATTAATTCCATATCAAAATACTAATATTCCAAAAATCCAAAATTACGCCCCAATAATCACCCATGGGGCCCACGTCTAGAAATCCGATAAAACTCACAAAATTCGAACCCTCATTCAACCACGAGTCCAACTATACCAAAATTACTCAAATCCGACCACAACTCGGTCTTCAAATCCTCAATTAAAGTCTATAATTTTTTTTTACTATTTTCAACCCAAAACACTAATTTGTTAATAAAAATAATAATAGATTCGTATAATTTAACCAAAACCGAGTTAGAATCACTTACCTCAATCCATATGGTAAAAATCGCCTCAAAAATTATTTCAATCCGAGCTCCATAGCTCCAAATATGTTAAAATGGCCGAAACCTCAAAATATATCTTCTGTCTAGGCATTTACTCTTCGCGATCGCGAAGCACAAAAATTTTCAGCCCAAAATTTGCCTTTCGCGATCACGAAGAACAAATTCCCAGCACTTTCGGACAGCTTCTAGTATAATGGTCATAACATTTTGTACAAAACTCCAAATTACAAATGGTTTAACTTTCTGAAAACTAGACACCTTATAACTTTCATTTGTTCCTCATCTCCCAATTCCTTACCGATTTCTAGATATAAGCTTCCAAAGTCAGCCATGTGCAACGGAGATTTCCAAACTTTTCCCGGACAACCTATAGTGTATCTACCATAACTCTTTGTATACAACTCCAAATGACAACTGCTTTACATTTCTGAAAACTAAACATCAAGGGCTACAACTTTCATTTTTGGATCATCTCCAAATTCCTTATAGATTGCGAGATATAAGCTTTCAAAGTTGGGTCAGTGCAACAGAGATTTTGTTCTACGCGATCGCGAAAGAGCTTCCGCGATCGCGATTCACAAGGTTCCAAACTGTTGTTTGCTCTTCGCGAACGCGACCAAATGTTCGCGATCGCGATGCACACCTCTGTAGGCAGAAACCAGCAACTAAAAATGGCCTAGAAATGGTCCGAAACTCACCCGAGCCCCTCGGGACCTCAACCAAATATACCAACAAGTCCCTAAACATCATACGAACTTAGTCGAAGCCTCGAATCACATCAAACAACGCTAAAACTACGAATCGCACCTCAATTCAAGCCTAATGAACTTTGAACTTTGAAATGTTATATCTTGTATCGAAGTACATCAAATCAATCCGGAATGATTTTAAATTTTGCACACAAGTCATAAATGACATAACGAAACTATTTCAATTTTCAGAATCGGATTCCGATCTCGATATCAAAAAGTCAACCCCCGGTCAAACTTCCCAAAAATTCAACTTTTGAAATTTCAAACCTAATTCCACTACGGACCTCCAAAAAAATTTTCGTACACACTCCTAAGTCCAAAATCACCATACGGAGCTATTGGAATTATCAAAATTCGAATCCGAGGTCGTTTACACATAAGTCCACATCCGGTCACTATTTTAACTTAAACTTTAAATCTTGGAACTAAGTGTTCCAATTTATTCCAAAACCTCACCGGACCCGAACCAAATACCCCGACAACTCACACAATAACTGTAAAGTACAATTTTAGTAGTAAATGGGGAAACGAGGTTTTAATACTCAAAACGACCGGTCGGGTCGTTACACAGATACTTTTTGGTACGTTCATCTTGATGTAACTCTGGACGATGGCATAATACTTTCAAATCTGCTCTAAATTTGGCAGTCTTTTGTTTTCCCCTTGACATTCATCACAGTGTTAAATATATTATCAAACACATTTTTTTCTATGCGCATTACATCAAGGTTATGCCTAATGAGATTTGTTTTCCAATAAGGCAAGTCCCAAAATATATTTCTTTTTTTCCAACCACATAAATGATTCTTTGAAATTCTAGCATTTACTGCTTGCTTCAGAACCAAGTTCTGTGACTTTTCTCAGTCCAAAATCCTCATCTTCTTAAGTATTTCTGAACCTGATTGTTCAGTGCATACAACCTTATGTACTGTTTTACCCTTCTTGAACCACCTTTTGTTCCTTCGAAAAGGATGGTCTGGTGGTAAGAACTTTATGTGATTTTCAAACCATGAGGTCTTTCTACCATTTGATGGAGTAAAAGCATCTGAGTCCCCCATACAATAAGGACAAGCTAACTTTCCTGCTGTACTCTAACCTGACAACATTGAGTACGCTGAAAAATCACTTATTGGCCACGTCAATGCAACTCGCATTTGAAAATTGTTCCTACTTGAAACATCATATGTTTGGACCCCTTTGTCCCACAAATAATTCAACTTATCAATGAGAGGCTGCAAGAAGACATCAATTTTCTGTTTAGGATTTTTTTGACCAGGTACAATCACTGTTAAAAACATGTATTCATCCTTCATGTACATTCTCGGTGGCAAATTATATAGTGTAACTATCACAGGCCAAGAAGAATATTGTTGGCCTGAATTACCAAACGGATTAAACCCATCAGTGCACAAACCCAATCTGATATTTCTCACTTCAGATGCAAAATGTGGATGTGTCTCATCAAAATGTTTCCAAGCAGGAGAGTCTGAGCAATGACGCATGACACCATCTTGATTATGTTTAGAATGCCACCTCAAATGTTTTGCTGTAGAGTTAGATGCATACAACACCTTTGCAAACGCGGTGTTAATGGAAAATAATACATCTTCGTAGAAGATAGTAGTTTTTGGCCGAGTACATCTAGTTTTTGATCTCTTGAACCGAGTGTGGCTACAAAATTTGAAACTATCAAGTTCACAATCTTCACGCCAATAAATCATACAACAATTGTTGCAACAATCAATCTTCTCTACCAGTAAGCCCAAGCCTCACATTAGATTTTTGGTACTATAAAAGCTATCTGTCATTATATTATCGGCCGGCATCAATTCCGATAAAAATTGACATAAGTCATCATAACACCTTTCGAAAAAATGATGTTCTGCCTTTAGATTCAACAATCGAGCAACGACAGATAATTGTGAATGCCCATGAGGGTTTCCTTCCAAATTTCTTGTTCTGATGCTTTGAGCATATTATAAAGACTTTTAGTTGTTGGATTCGGGGTCCTCTTCCAAGTTTCAGTTATAAGATGGCCCGGCAAAATCAAAAACCATAGACTGAAATGAATTATGAGATTGAAGGTTCTCAGTTTCTTGTTGTATAGTTTCACCAAATATTTCTTCTTCATTAATATTATGTACACTTGGATATGGACAATAATTTTTCCCGTGGTGATACCAACGATCATAATTTGGTACAAAACCGTATTTCCCAAGATGTACCATAACTGTAATCTCATCTAAAATATTTCTATTCCGACATTTATGATGATTACAAGAATATCTTAGCTTTTCACCATCCATGCATTGTGGATGACTTTTAGCAAATGCAACAAACTCCTCAACCCCCGCAATAAACTTACGATTAATGAATCCATTTTCCAATCTAGCATACATCCACTCACGATTGGAATTCATATTGTACACTCTGACACAATTAATAATAAAACATATGTCGTAGGTTACATGATAATAAACAAGAATAGCTTACATAAAAACTGAAAACTTGAGCAGCAAACCACATATATAAATTTATATAAAACCTTTATATGAACAATCAAAAAGAATTAAGATCGATGTTGCAAGTTGGAGATACCAGATTCTACCAAATTCATATGTAAAAATCGTTATACAATGATTCTCCATCAAAAGTTATTATTAGTGCCATGTAGTTTACATTATACAATCAAAGAATCAAATATGAAGCTGAACATGCCATAGTATTATCTCAAGAGCTAGGAATCCCCCCTCTCCTTTTTTTATATTTGTATTTTTCACATTTTCTTACGCATAGGCAAAATAACATACACGAGTCTGTTAAACCATTAATACAAACATCATTGTATTCTTGAAGAGGAAGAGCAACACAATATCTCATTTTAAGACTCAGAAAAATTAAATCGATTACATACATCAGTGCTACATGGTCAATCCAAACCACTAAAGAGAACTTCTAATAGAGTTCTTTATTTGTATATATACCAGAAATTACAAATTAAAAAACTTTCCATATCTCAAAACTCAAATATAAAATGAAATAAAATAAACTATCTTTAAAAGATCACTTATCAATAAAAATTTAAGTTTCTTTTTATTTTACTAGAAGAGAAACTAACTCATTTAGGTTTTTCACTTCACGATTTCTCTATTCTAGCATGTTTGATGAAGACCCACTAAGATATTTTCACAAATTTGAAGTATTCAGAGATGTGGCAACGATTATATTCACTTCAACATACCCCTTTGTTCAAGCAAAATCTAACTGAGAATTGAGTAAACCATGAAGTAGAAAAAGAACCAAAAATCTGTCTAAATGCTTCTAAATTTATGACCAAATATATTTTCTTTTAAATAGCAAATCAGAGTAAAAGAGATACCAACAACAATAGTATATCGTTGAACAACTGGAAGTGCTCCCTCAAAAAATGGTTCCTCACAACCTTGAAGTAATCACTGTAACTGACCACAAAATACATAATATGAAATTTAATTTTACAACCAAAACAAAAAAAAAAAAAAAAAAAAAAAAAAAAAAAAAGACAAAATGAGAGTGAAAGAGGAGATACTAACAAGGGGAAAGCAGTCGACAGAGCACCAAAATACAAAAAAAATCGAAGCTTGTTGGTTAAAGAACGTTGGTTGAATGTAGTCTACTAATGGTGGTATAGAAGGGATTTGTGAAAGGAGGCTCTCTGTGGGGATTTCATTTTGCGGAGAAACAAAATGGGTCTTTGGACCGTAAGAATTTTGATATGGGTGGAAAAGTAAGGTGGGAACAGTAAAAGTTAGTCCCAAAATTTTCTAAAAATGTGACAGACACATGCTTCACTAACTTTTATATTTAAAACATAAGTGGGTATTTTTATTTTTGTGACGGATTTAAATGACGGTCACAAATTTGAGACGCATTTGGGCGTCACAAAAAAGTTCTATTAACTATACATATTTTTAATAATATTTGTGACGGAATTTTGTCAGACTATTTTACCCAAAATTTCGTGACTGTTTATTTTTGTCACAAAACTTTTTCGCTAAATTCTGTTACGAATCAGTCACAAAACCGTCATAAATAGAATTTATGTTAAAGAAATTATTGTTTCCTCAAATTTTCGACTATGTAAGGATGATCCATCATAAATCTGTCAAAAATTCGTCACTAATTTGGGATGGACCTATATGTCACAAGATTTCCGTCACAATTTTGACTTTTTTTTTGTAGTGAGCCGTTATCGGAATGATGTCGTTGGTGGCGACTGCAACGAACCATTCCATCCACCCACAATCGTTGTCATCATCCATGCTAGACAGCAAAGCATGGTGGCCACGTTTGCAGAAGTTTTATCATTTCCCCGAGGAAGATTTTGGGAGAAAACAGATTCATCATATGAGCTAAGGTTAGCTCCTTTCTAGTTTCCTGGCACAAGCGTCGAAGACAGGCGACCGTCCTCCACACTGAGAGACTTATGTGCCAAATACACTTGGTAGCGAAGGCAAAAATCCGCAATCACGGAATCAAGCTCTCCACTCAAAGAAAACGCACCCAAAGTAAAGAGATACGTGTAAAGGTATGTAAAACCTTCCTGGGAATGCTCACTCGCTCCGATAGATCAGAAGCAATGATATCCAACTCATGGCAGCGGCAATCTTCTTTCACGACAGGAATATTGGAAGGACGAATGGAAGAAGGGTACCTACTAACAGCCCATCTTCAAGGTCCTTTGTGGTACTTAGTTTTCTTGGGATGATGAAATTCACCGTTGGAGGAGCAAAGTTCTCGGCTTTGTTCTTGTTCTTTGAAGAACCAACACGCTTGGAGGAAGAAGCCATTGAAAAAGAAGAAGGAGAAAAAGGTTTTGTGTTTGAAGAGAGATTAGAGAAAGGGTGGAAAACAAAGATGTAAATCAGAAGCACGATAAATTATGAAACGCAAAGGAAAAGAATGTCGCGCATAAGTAAAATTTTGGCGGCTGAATTCGTGGCCATGATCATCTCGATAATCGGCAAAAGTTGTGTTGAATCATGGGATGACGCGTGTTCGGAGCATTAAATACAGAGAGACGTGCGTCTAATCAGCCGTCAGAAACGTTCAGAGGGAGTTATAGTAATTCCCGCCAAAAAGGTATTTCTACCAACTTCCGGTAACACAAACTTATGTCACCGGAAAGCAGGGGACTATCTGTATAGGGTGAAATATGATATGACATGTGGTCGTCTAAAGGGAGGACACGTGGAAACCAAGACGGGGATGGCCGAAGACAGAACACAGCCATTCCGCTGGTCACCGGAAAGGATAATATTTATAAAGGTGTGTTAAATGCTCTGCGCCCGGTAGCATTTAATAGGGAATATTCTGCACCATCAAGAACGATGGCCCGTTATAGAGAATTTAGCATTTATGTGCACCATTATATCTTCATCAATGACTCTCATAATTGACATTAAAGGAGGACATGATCCTAGGACCTCCTTTCCTAGACATAGCTATAAATAGTCATGAGCTCAGTTACCATTATAAAGGACACGAATTCTCTGGCAAAACTTATATTGTATTCTACACAAAGCATAATTCAATCTTATTTTCTTGCTCTTTGATCTCATCATTGGTGTGCTCGGAAACCTTATTCCCGCAACTATCATCTCTGCTATTTCATCGACATTTCAAGGCTAAGTATTATACATTTCTTCAAATATTTTATTATTTCAGGATCAAATTAGTTCACTTGTCTAGAAATTTATTTACCGAAAAAATCGGATAACGTTAGATTTTGTGTATGGTTCTAAGGATATGCAATACAATTCGATATAAATCGTGTAGAGAAATAGAGATACGTATATTCTTGGCTATGAGAATGCAAATAGTGGGTAATAAGAATGAATGGGATAAAGTAAAGCAAACACAAAGTGATATCTTTCAATCTGAGTAGTGATTTGTTTTTGTCTCTCCCCTTTAGCTTACAAGGATTTTCCCTTTTACAGAAGAGGGTCATTACAAAAAATAATAAAATAAAACATATAGTGGAAGGCCCATGATGATTTGTCTCTTCCTTGATTCTCGCCAAGATTCTCTCTCTTGGTGCGGTCGCAACGGCTCTTGTCTGTGATCTCGATACTGGTTCGAACTCGTTACTGGGTCGGGCCCTCCTGTCTTGGCTCGAGTTCGACCTTCGAGATGGGCGTCGCGCATTTCCGACCTCAAAATAGTGCCTTGCGGATCGATTCAGTCACGGGCTTGATAGGGTTATCGAGCCGACTCCTCGAACGACCTTCGAGCTCGAGGCTCGTTAGTACCGACTTCGGAGCTCACTCCCAAAATCTCATTCCGACTTTTTAACACTCGAACTCGATCGAACGTAGGAAGGCCGAAATCTATTTTGACCGTATACAGATAGTCCCCTCGTTTCTCACGAAGGATGTGGTGAGAATCGATGTGATTTTTGGTGGTTCGATCGGGTCATAAGCCGATGTTTTCACAGGGATCGATTATGACGTATGTGATAGTTGTCCTATCGATTTAGCCTTTCAAGGTATTTAATGCTTGTCAGATGGCGGTCAGCCAGCTGTGATATTGAACCGTCACGATGCGAGCCTATAAATAGCTCTTCCATATATCATTTACTTCTTTCACGCGTTCACTCCCCCAAATTTTCTCATCTTTTCTTCCTTTCTTGTTGCTACCAGAGTTTTTCTGTCGTCAATTTTTCACTTTCCTTTGTCTTTCTTCCTCCCATATCAATGGCCAAGACTTCAAAAACTGTGCCTCAGAAGGAGAAATCTTCTTCTTCACAACCGTCCGACGACAAGGCGCCGGTGGAGCGCGTCCACCTATGACTACATTCCCGACCCGTGTACTCTAAAGATCAATTTTAAGGTTGAGAATCCTTCATCCGTCCCGGGTCGATGCGAGCACGTGTCGACGTATATGTGCTCTATAACTAAGGGTCATCTCGAGACCGTTAGAAAAGACTGCAACTGGGGTTCCGAGGTTGTGTTGCAAATTCTATCCCCCGAAGAGAGTGTTGTCACCTATGTGGAGGGGTTTTTAAGTGTTTACACTTATCCTTTCACATTGGGTCCGGTTGACCCGATGATCATCGATTTTTGCAGGAGATATCAGGTCACCCTTGGTCAGATTCATCCCTATCTGTGGCGTATAGTAATCCTACTTCGCTTCTTCTCCACCAAAGCCGGGGGGGATGGATTTTTCCCTGAATCACCTCATACGGTTGTATCGGCCTCAAATCTTTCGAGGGTTAATCAGACTTCATCGTCGGGCATCGAAGGCTTTGATGTCGAGCATCGACGAAGACAAGGATCGAGGTTGGATGGGGCATTACATTCGGGTGAGGACCCGTGACCTTATTCCGGAAGAGAAGATGTCGTTCCCCCGAGGAATGGAATTTCGACCGTAAGTTGTTCACATAAGACGTTGCCTTTTGTATCCTTTCCTATAGTTTTTTTTTTGATGTTTCTTCCCGATATACAGCTGCCCCTTGGATGCCACAAGCGGTGCCCTACCTCGAGGATTGGGTTCGGAAGTTAGCCTCGACTTCCTCTTATGCCGAACGCGCTTGGCGTGATTTGGCTAAAGGCAGATGGGAAGCCAAGAACCATGGTAAGGTTTTACTTCTCGTTTCCTTCGAAGCGCTCTTTGTGCTCCATTCGTTACCGATTTCCTTTCATGCAGGTGTAACCAAGGATGCCGTTTTGAGGCCTTCGAGCGGTGAAGAAGGAACCAAGTTCCCGGTCCCGAAACCGAAGAAAGACAAGAAGCACAAAGTTGCCTCTCGATCAGAGGGCCCCAAGCCCGAAACTCGAAGGGTGAGGAGGAAAGCAATTGCCCTTTCGATTGACTCGGTCCAACGAATGAGAGAAGAAGAAGAAGACGAAGAAGAAGAAGAGGAAGAAGGAGGTGCCTCGGCTTTGGTGCCCCGATCTGCCAGAGCTATCGAGGTCACCGAAGCTCCTAAACCGATGGCAGTTGTATCGGTCGGGGTTGACTCCGGGATCCCGAGTCTTGATCGGAACGCCCTGAGTGATTCACTTGGGATTATGACAGTGGGTTATTCGCCTTCTCTTCCCACCTTTTCTGAGGAGGCGTTAAAGGAAGCTCGAGAATTGAAGACCCCCGATATGTGCGGAGGCTCTAGTGCAGGGGATCCCTTTCGGGATTGCTTTATCGGAGTCGGTGATGCTTCCGATATCGGGGACGCTTCTCTTCTACTGGAAGAGGCCCAACGTTTCATTACTCGGGTAATGATTTTACTATACTTGGTTTCTTTGTTCTTTTCCGAATTTGACTCGTGTTTTTTCCCTACTATGCAGGCCGTTAGTAGATTTCGGGTCGACCTTAGCTAGTGTGAGGTTGAGCTTCAGAAAGTCTTGGGGGAGAAAGACGCTTTGCGGCTTCTTTGCATCCAAAAGGACGAGGCTATAAAGGACCTCCAAGCGGATTTGGCTAAGGCTCGTGAAGAAGATGCCAAACTTGACAAGCAGGTAAGCCTCGTTCTATTAAAGTATGGGTTTGACTCGACTGTGGAAGTTAACCCTTCGTTGTCTCAGCTGCAGCAAAAGGTTGAAATGATCGGGTCACTTCGGGAAGAAATCGATCAAATCAAAGCTGAATGTAATCGGTGGAAGGAGACTATCGATCGCCTGGCTACAGAAAAAGAGACCATTTTGACCATCTTATTATCGGCCGATGTCCAGCTTCGAAACGTTAAACAAAAGGGTTAGGCTCAAGCTAAGAGGATCAAGGAGCTTGAAGCCCAGCTTGCTGAGGCCAA